TATATATATACCATACATAAATTGTTTATTAAATGAAATATTTGAAAATTTTTATCTTTTAAGAAATAAAGATTTATATTATACATGAAAATATGAATACATATACATATGTATCGTTTCTAAATTGTTTCATTTAAAACTATTATCTTAAAATTGTCTAGAAACTTTGATATAGATAAATTTAAAATGAAATCACCTTTAGTTTATCTAAAATGTTTACGTGTAATTTATCTTATCTTTATCTACGTAACTTTTAATTATCTAAGCGTTACATTGCACGCGTGTAACACATACATACTCGCGAGTACGTATGCGCAGTGGCGCATCAGAGGCGCGTACGAAAAGCGAGAGAATTCAACGACGATAATTCTTTCGCGAATATATCGGGATACTTTAACGCTTTTCCATCATTAACAGGCCTCGTGGAATTACAGATGTGGCTGACCTCCGCAGGGAGTTTTGCATATTTCATCTGTAATCGCTAATGACACGAAATTGCGCTGAACTTCCTCGAGGCGGGAAATCTTCTTGCTTATACAAGCGAAATCCATTGACCTGATTCATGGTTTTTGCGCGCCGTTGATTCTCCCGCGGGCGACTTTATGAGGGAAACAATAATCATTTCAACGAGGAAATGAATAAAAATGACTGGAATTTTTTTATTACTAATCTAATGTAATCATCTCCCTAATGAAAATAATAAATATCTGTTTATGGAAACGAGTCAAAAAATTGAAACAAGTAAGATTTTGATAGTTAGTCTTAGTTTGAGAAATTACTAGAAAATACTTAAAATATTCAACGTTTTCATACAATCTTTTTGCTTTTCGATTTAGAGACGACATTGCTCCAACCGATTCAAAAGTACAGATGATGCTCCGGTCTCCACGCCAGTGAATGACGTAGAGTAGGTACCCCTGTCCGTCGAACTGCTCTCGCCCGCGTTCTCGCTAGCTCGCGTTAGCTTGCCTAGAGATCGCGCGAGTAAAGTACACACGCTCGCGTCTGTCGGTGGCGCATGCGCCCATACCATCGCGGGCCGCGACTCGACTCGACTCGACTCGGCTCGGCTTCGCCGACTCTGGCTCCGGCTGCTTCTCGGCTCTCCGCGGCTCTCGCCCTCCCCGCCAAGGTGCATGCATGCATTCTATGCGGCGTGCACCGCATTAGATGCATTTCTAAGTCGCGCCGCAATAAATCGCAGAAATATCGAAGTCGAGGCACCGCGAATACGGTCCGCGCGCGTCCTCGAAAAAGCTCGCAAATACTGTGTGTCAAACCGATACCGTCTCGCGCGCGCGCGATACCGATCGCCGAAAGGGAGAGACAGCCCGGAGAGGGAGCCCGGAGAGATAAGGAGGGAGAGAAGAAAAAAAAAGAGAGCAAAGCGTGACAAAGGGAGAGAGGGCGGAGGTGGAGTAGAAGAGATCGTCGCGCGGTGATAAAGATCGAAAGATACATAGACGATTTCAGTGACGCGCTCCCGCGCAATAGGAGGAGCTTCTCTCTCTCGAACGTATCGCGGTCGAAAGCTCGCAAGAAAGGGCCCACTACCGAAAGGAAGAACCATCAACCAGTCGACCCGTATCCAGATATTCTTCTAACGTAATCTGTCTCTTGGCAGTGGTAGTGTGTGAGTGTGTCTACGCGAAATTATCATACCGGTCGTCACGCGTGCATGCTCGTAAGTACGTATACGCACGTGCGAGTTACCGAAGTCGTTCAGGACATCCGCTAAATCCCTCTTCTCTTTGCAAGGATTCTGATGGGGATATGATTTAAGGGTTCAGTGAGAAAATTTCGAATTTTCGAAAAGGTTTCGATGACCAGCGTTTCCAGAGAGACTGATTTCCTCCCCTGGAAAAATCTATTATCCTGGTGAGAGGTATTGAAAAGGTAACGTAAATCATCGATCATCGAAACGCGCCGAATTCGGATCACAGAAATATATACTTTAGTACGCCGTGTGTAACGGGTGTACAGAGAGAGCTGACACGAACGAGAACGAGACTGTACGGGACGACTCGCATGCGCCGAGTCCTCCGATAATCCGCATCCGGTTGGCGTTACGAATCGCCGACGCGCCGCAATTGCGCCGTCGCGCTTATCCAATTCTTCCAAGATGAGAATGATGCGCGAATAAAGACTCAACGATCTGGCCGCGTCTAGGGCAAAGGCGGCGAACGATCTAATTGAAACTCTTTACGGATCAATAGAGAGAGAGAGAGAGAGAGAGAGAAACGATACCGCGAAAGGATAGATCTATCGATCTGGTGTGAGGGTGAATAGCACGAAGAGGCGGAAAAAGATCGTTCGAGAGCCTCGGAAAACTCGTACAATCGCTATCATTCGGTACCGTCGACAGCACTTCTGTTGCATGTATAAGTCGGTACTCGTAAAAAGCCGATTTGCGCTCGATCTCGCGCAGTAATAGGTCTGATTTTTATTCCTGCACTAAAAATCTCTTTTTCGTTTTCGTCAAATATCAAATATATCTCTATCTTACTTTAAATTTCAAAACTATATATTAATTCAGCCACAGAAGATAAACTTAGAGTCGTTTTCGACACGACATCGAAAGACAAGTCGCGACGGATCAGCAGATCGGAATTCTCGCAGCACGATACGTTAAAAGAGGGCACGCAAAATCGAATGACGAAAAATCCGCGTCGCACATCGATCCGTCGGAGAAGATACGCGTGCGAGACAAGACTCGATCGATCGTGAAAGTGATCGCGATGCGCGAGATCGACGTACGGTGAATTACGAAAATCGAAACCAAAACGTAACGTGCGAAAAGAGGAGACGTAAGATATCGGATGAACTGGAAAAACAGACTGCGCCGAGTGGAAGAGGATGCCGATGTCGACGGGAACGGTGAAGAGAACGACGACGACGACGACGACGACGACGGTGACGACGACGATGACGAGGATGACGATTACAATTGCGAGGGAGTCTTGAATGCTGGACTTGCGGAATTTCGAGTACTGCGAAGGTAGGAAAGGCCAACATGCACGCCTAAATTGAATGGTTATATGACGCTTTATATACATCTGCTATCGCTATTACAACATCGAAAGAGACGCTCGCGAGAAGTGATGCAGAAACAAGAGGCGATCTTTTCATACACTGAGAGAAAAAATATACTTACTAAATTTTAATAAATATTTGTTTAAATGCCAATTGAAAATATACTAAATATAAACGTATATTTATTTGATACAAAGAAAAAGTTAATTTGTGATTCAACTATTATTTTTTATTTAGTAAATATTTATTTTCCGTACACAAATATTATTATATATTAGTGCTTTTTTATATTATTATGATACATTATTGAAACAATTATTTATTCAAATTTAATACATTTTTCTCTGAATGTAATATCCTCAATTCGAATGAATTAAATGAAAAAAGTAATAATAAAAGTTTAATCTAAATTTAACTGAGAGGTGTAAATTTAATTAACAAGATGTAAAAATTGAACAATTCGATTATCAAATCAACAATGAAATAATTATTACAATTAATTACAATTATTAGATATTTAAATTTATATGTATTTATATGTATTTATATGTATTAAGAGAATTATGCGATAGAAAGCAAACTAGTCTGTATACGTTTCACTGCTAGAATAATTCCAGTCAATATGCGCGTCATTCTATCGCAAACCGAATCTACGATTCGCAAAAAAAGACTTTGCCGGCGTCTCGCTTCGTTGAATTCTCTCATGCTTGACCTTAACAAACATTAATATTCCTTGCTTGCAGAAACTCTGCCGAGTACGCTTTAGACGCAAAAACTACTAACAAAACTGAAAGACGGTGGCGAGCAGGAAAGTGAGATCGGAGAGATTTTCCCGCCGAAAATCTCACGTCACCTACAACCTCCGTTTTTCAGTTTTCTCTCCGAAAATTCGCTTTGAATCCTACTGCTGTCGCTATCGGGCTATCTTGCTGTTGCTGCTGCTGTTCTGTCGTCCCGGCTTCCTCGACGAACATGCCGAGAGTGTCGACGTAGCTACCTCGAAAACCGACGAGGTATCGAGGATCGACCGTAGACAATCCGTAGCAGGGTCGTGCGGAACGATCGATCGAATAGGTGCCAAAGGGAGAACGGGGACGGGGGACAAAGGTGGTGGTGTACGGGGAAATAGCAGGAGGGTTGGTGTGAGGTTTTGGGATGCGGAGGAGGAGGAGGAGAAGGAGGAAGAGGAGGAAGAGGGCGGGATGGTGATGGTAGTGGTGATTAGTTACAGTGTTTTGGAAAACAATGCGCAGAATTTCGACGACGATAAATAATAAAAGACAAATAAAGTGTATCGGGGAACGGTGAAGTGAACGTGTGTATCAATAAATAATCTGACGGCATATGTATTGTACGTTGTGCGCCGAGAATAAAAGCGAGATGAATTTGGAAAAAAAAAATATCCCATGTTCCGGAAATATCATTTTGCGCGTGCACGCTTCTTCTTTGTCAATCCGCTTTTCACAGGGAAAAATTGTGACGTTGTGAGAAAGTTTCCTGTATCAGTTTCAGTGAATAACGAATTATTGACTTAATAAATTGTTCCGTTTGTCGATCCCGCTCTTTCACATATTAATATAATATAAGTATATTTCTTCAACGTAATAAATAATTATAATTACACATTGTACTTAGAACATTAAAATCATTGTACCGAAAATCCCTTGTAATGGCTAACAGAAATGCGCTTATATATACACACTGCCCGTTTTCCCACACAGAATCCCGGAGAAAAACTCTTGCGCTTCCTTTCCCGTTGAAAAGTACAAATAAACGAGTTCATCTTACAATAGTCTCGACGCGAATCAGCGGCATGAGAACGATGATGTTACAATTACAATAGCGTGTTTCCAGGAGATACATTCACCGACCCTTCCATCGCCCTTTGATTCGATCTTTAAACACAGCCCTTAAACAGGTTCAACCCATCTCGAGATACACGTCTGTTGGAAGGGAAGACGAAAAATAAAACGCTCGTACGAGAACGGAAGAGAGAAAGAGATCCGCGAAAAAACGAAAGAATTCTGGACACCGTGATGCATTCGCCCCTTCTCCAACCCCCCACCTATTGCGTGTTCGCGAGGACCCGTGCGAGATGGGCCATCCCTCTCCCGTATGTATAAGGGCCCTTTTGCCCCCCTTTTTTAAGGCGGCCAGCTGTGAGGTCAGTTTTCGACGGGCGCGCGGCGCATTAAGATGCTACGCACAAAATTTGTCATCATCGGTCGGTCATCGTCGCGGATTCTGCGAAATTAGAAGTTTCGGCGAGTTCAACCCCGCGCGTACTCGATGGCGAGAGACAGACGCCGCGGGAAAGAAGAAAAGGACGAACCGCGGCAAAAGGGGAAAAAGAGAGAGGACGCGGACAACGTGCGGGTGCGAGCACTGGCTGGATCGCTTCTGCAGTGATGAACGCGTGATGGATATTAAATGGACGCACGGTACGCATCGACAGATTAATTCCATTTACGAGGTGCTGCTGCTTTTGTTCGGGGAGATTTTAACAAATATATGAGTTATATATGCGCAACGTGTGCGCCCGACTAAAAATACTCACGAATCGCTTTTCGGCGCTTTGTCATTGCATGAATTGTTCGCGAACGAATATCGATTGTTACAGGCTGCTAATGTGCATACGACTTTGTTGCGTCGTAGAATGATCCGCGCATGAAATTAGTTCAGTTCTCATCATCGTTCCTCCTCTGATTCGATCGCGTGATGTTTTCGAATTTTGTCAATTTTTTATTTTATTAACTTCATTAAATTTTATTGATTTACTCTAATTTAAAAAAAAAAGAGACACTCTCTCGTGTATCGCGAGGAGTGGCTTGGGACAAAATGTTCCCTCTCATAATTACGAATGTGAAACTGTAGAATGTTCATCGGTGTGACGTTAACGCGCTCGCGAAATTCCCAATAATGATAAGTTTTAATTTTCCCATTTAAACAACGGGTCTGATGTACCCGTTGATCACGTCGAAATACCTCTCTTTCGTTGATAAAGGTCGAAATATCGCTCCCTCTCATTTTCTCGCGCAGTTCAATCGAAATGATGGTCGAACGAATGTAACACACACGCACGTAATGTCAATCGTACACGAATCCGGTCGCGCGCGTTTAGCTATAGCTCTTTACTCAAGTGCGATGTATCCTGATGCCCGTGATTTCATGCTATTGGAGCGGTTTCGAATACTTCTCGGATTCTCTTTCGCTCCACATCTATGTCCTCGCTCTCACCTACACGCACCTTTCTCGCCACCGTTCAAATAATTAATCGCAAATAGTCTGTGCCCGATGGAAAGTGGACGCGATGGAAGAGACGGTAGACGTGAGAGGGGAGGGGAGGGAAGGGTTTGTCGTGCCGCCCTTCGATCCTTTCGAGCCGCCGAGGCACGGCCTGACGTTTAATTTCGCTAATTTCTTTTCTCCCGTTCGAATTACTCGCGGTACGACGCTTCGTCCCCGACGTAAGGGTTGGCTCCTACTATCCCGAGTCACCCTTACATTTTCTTTCTTCTCGAAAGCGCGAGGAAGATCCTCGAGCACGAGGGTGCGAGGAGGGTGGAGAATGGGACCAGCCTGCCTTCATGAGAATGATGGCCGGAAAAATAATTACTCTCTGCATACCGCGAGAAGAATACTCGGAGCCTGTTTCAGGATGAGCGGGGAGAGAAAAAAAGGATCGAGTGATTCTCTCAAGTTCCTTCCCCGCTCTTCTATCTTCTCTCGCTACTACTGCAATCTTAATAACAATATTTTTTCGCTCCTTTCGTTCTGAATATACTAGAAACGATTATATCTACCTTTAATATATGTAAATCGCGTATCTTGATAATATGGAAGAAGAAAGGGATATTAAAACGGGCATTATTTTAAGATGCTGTAATTTTAATTTCTCTCAGTGATGTCTCTCTTGAATATAAAAGTTTTGTGAATAATTCGTGTCGTAATGTATATTAACATTACAGACGAAATTTTAAGTACATCGCGCAAAATAATTTTCGTCGCGCTATGAAATATGGCGCGAAAAAGATAATAATTCATTCTCGATGATGGACATTGCTATTTTCGGCAGTTAAAACGATGGATTAATACTATTTTACTGGGAAATATATATACGCGATAAAAATAGATTTATTACTACGAAAAGGTACACTAATTCGAGTCGCGCTCAGCGTTAAAGTTTATCCGATGTTTCGTCTATTCATATACGGATAACGTGATTAAAAAAATATTTAGCCAATTAAATGAATCAAAATGAATAAAATGAAAGAACCGGCTCGACGGTATATAAAATGTTCATAAAGCCGCAAAAATTTAATACTTCATAAATTGTTCGATAAAATGCAATGGCTGTTTGTTTTGTTACAAAATGTAATAGGCAAATAAAATCAATGGAAAATATCATTATTGAAAAAGGGTTGTTATGCGACAAAACATTGAAAAAAAAAATTTAGCTTTCAATTGGTCAAAAAGAGGAAGAGTAAAAAGAAACTTCTTTTAGAGATTCCATTATCCTTACGACAGATTGAATCGTCCAATTGCTAGCCGGAAATTAGATTTTTTCTTTCTTTCCAAGAGGAGAAAAAGTTCTTTCTCATTCTCTCTTATTCCTCAGCTGCTGAAATTTAAGTAGACAGAAAGCTACGTCCATGGTCTGAATAATGAAAATTGTCTCTTGAAGCTCTCGACGCAAAAAACTAAAAATCATCTGCGTTTGATCGATCCGCTACCGTTTGATATGTACAATGTACCTTTTGATTATATTCAGTTATGAAAAAAGAGTATCCGTCCCACAAAGTCATTTCAATTGCGCTTTATTGATCAAAACAATGGAAGAGCCATGTAACGAATGGAAGAGGACGATGGACGTTACAGAGCGAGAGGGGGAGTTTAAAGAGATAGAAAGAGAGAGTGTGCGTAAGAAAGAAAAGAGAAAGAGCGTGGAAAAGGGTCGGGGGAAATGCAGAGAGGGTGGGTCGTTGCTGACGAAAGATGGCGTAAAAATGGAGGGTGAAAAATATGGAAAGGGCGAGCCTCGTGCTACTCGATTCTCTTTCTTTCTTTCTCCTTGTTTCTTTCTCGTTTCCTTTTGGGCGTTCCAGTGGGAATACGCCTACCGAGTCGCTGGAAGATTTCGAAATTTCGCAGGTGGCATCCCCAGGGCCATGCGGGGCAACTTTTTAAGTCGATTTCCATTAGCATGTCGAAGAGGGATACTCGTTGTTTAATGCCGCGACTTACAAATGGAAATATCTTAAAAGCATCGATATAATTTTGATAAAAAAAAAAAAAAAAAAAAGAAGAGACAAATCAACTTCTAAATGCGCAATTCTCATTGCTGCCGGACGTTTTAGTCTGCGATGACCATGCAACGTTATATTCTCAGATCAGATGCAATATTTTCTTATTACAATGATGATTGTGCGAATTGTACTTCTATAAATATTATAAATCCAATTCCATTTTTACTTCTCTGAAATGTTAAAGTCGATAAAAGTAAATTTACATTTATTATGTACGCGCTATTTTAACTTACAGCAACGTCTGTTTCGTGACGCGAATATCCGCGGGTTAATTTCAACTCATCGATTAATCCGTTGGCGAGATCGACGTGCATTTATGCGGTAACGCTAGAAAAGTCCGCTCGCGTCGTTCGGCCAACTTTTCCACCGCGATAGAATAGTGAGCAAGATAAAGGGGGCGGGGGAGGGACAAAGATGCACTGAAGAACAGGAAGGTCTAATTTTACGGATTTTCTCGCATTCCGAATAATTCAAGGCTGCGTCCGGGGGCTGAATAGGGGCGAGAAGAGAAGGGATGCAGGCAGGGGGCGACGGGTAGGCGGGCACCAAAGTTAAAACAAACATTTTTGCGCGTGTGAGCTTCGGCCATAAAGCTCTCTGCCCAGCCAAATGCATCGGTCGGCGGTTGCATAACACTCGAGAATAGCCGCGGAAAATGGTGGACCTTCTCTCTCCTACCTTTTTCTTTTTTAGACCGCGCCGAGCGTGGCTAGCCGGGCAACGGCGCGGGAGCTTCGTTTTGCAACTGATTTGGCCATTCGAGGACAATCCATCGATCGTATGTGGACGAATGCACGAGAACGTCGCACTTCCCCCCCCGTCCGGGGCAACAGCATTAATTAAATTTCGTTTGCCCGTAATTAAAATACGCACATATAGCTTTCTTTCTTTCTCCCTCTTCGGCGTGATTTGATATAGGACGAACGTGAGCTGAATGACCGAAAAGTCGCAATTTAAAACAACTTCTTTTACCAAATGCCAAGACGCACTTGCGAAACTGTCAAGTTTCGCTCTACTTGTATTATTAAAGAACAAAGTATATATTTAACCGCGTAAACGTGCAAGTGCATAGAGTCATCGTATATGCGATTTGATTAGATAGGTCGAAGAAGATTGGACACAATGAAAATCACAGCTAACAAAAGAGAAAAAAAGAGAAACGAACGACTCGTTCGAGAGTCCTGTCTTGAAAAGGCCAGAGCAATTAAAATTATTTATTAAAGGGCACCGCCCCAAAATAAATAGAGAGAACTGTAGAAGGGTGCCGATGGAAAGGTGCGATCCGATTAAAATCTAATTTTTCACGGATACTCTCTTAATTAAAACATTAAATTGATTGCGGCGTGAGGTCGCGACGATGACGGGGTACTACGAAGAGAGAAGGGGAGGATGAGGGGGTGACACTGTCTTCTCAAGGCACGGTGAAGTGACGAGAGAGCGAGCGGGAGCCGACGGGAGGGGGAAGTTCGTGCTAAAATAAATGAAAATGAAATCAATTATAAAACTGTTTGAGGAGCCTCGGAGGAACAGGCAGTACTCGATAGACGGATGGATGGGTGGATGGATGGATAGATGGACCAGCGGAGATAGATCTTGAGAGAGAGAGAGAGAGAGAGAGAGAGAGAGAATTTTCTTAATTAAAAATCTACAGACTTTGCTTTCAATTAAAAACAAGCGTATCGCTTTTCCGGTGTTGAAATTTATGGTATTTTGCTTTTTATCTTCATGATATGACTAATTATTGATATGACTAATTATTGATAAAATAATTCAAATATCAATAAGTTAGACAAATCTGATGTTAAGAAACTTTATAAATTGTATTATGCACATCGAGATTTTCTTGTCTTTTTCTCATATTTTCCTTATAGAGAAATAAACACATATAAAATTGTCACTAATAAAACAAAGTTTCTGTCATAATTCTTTTTTTTTCTAAATAAAAAAAGAGAAAAAGAGAAAACGAGAAAGAAGGAGAGAAAGAGACCAAGAGAGAGAGCCTCTTTTCTAATCTTCTCGAGGTTCTCGCATCGCCAAGACATCGTCTCGATTTATGATCCTCCTAAATCTCGTCCTCCCTGTCAGACTCCCCGCGTGTCGCTCTTTTGTCTCTTGGCGCACTTTTGCACTTTTAAAACTTTCTTCACCGTAGCGAATTTCATTATAAGAGCGCGAGTAAGGACTCCTTGCGCGATAAGAAGTCGAGTTGGCCGGCGTGGTTTACGCCGCGCAGTTTGAAACATTGCTGGATCTTAACCGTATTTCCCTCCGCGCCCGCCTGGCCTGACTTTACCACGACTTAATCAGCGGCGCGACTTTATAGATAAACAAAGTTAACGCACCTCACGAACGGTGTGCCAAAAATGCGCTGGCTGCACTGAAGATCGACGTGCGTACGAAATCCGATGATTGACATAGGCCCAAAGGAATGCCATAAGCATGCCTCATCGTATGTCGTTGAAAAGAATTCCCCCGCTATACCATGGCCAAACGACACACAAAACGGCCCGACTAATTATTATTTTTTGTAACGGGAGCAGAACGGCGCACCGCGGCGAAATCAGTCCGTTTGCATTCTTCGTAGATATTCGACAATGGCGCCCTTAAGCTCTCTCACTCTTCTTTTTTCGACTCCTTTGTTCCCTTTCCGAAAACAGACCAGACACGCGCGCACAAAGGGAAGAGACCCGAACAATGAGATCCGGCAACGATGACCTCGGGAGATAAGTGAAATAGCCGAAATAGTTCGCGACTTATTTAAACGCGCGATTCGTAAGTATTATAATATCGAGAAGCGATTCGACGATCATAAAACAGTCAAATTTCCATACGCCAGAGGCAGAGAACATAAAACATAAACGTTGTTCATCAAACAAACTTCATTAATACGCAATTATTTGAAGAACATGATAAATATTTAAAAAATGCATGATTCCAAATAGATCAAATACATACACTTTCGTGTATTATAATTATATCGTATATAAATAATAAATAATGTATATCTATAAATAAATAATTAATTAATTAATTCGAGAATATATATTCATTAATGTGTTCTCGCGAAAAAGAGCGTCGACGTGCGTAGGAAGGTTCCACATGTATTATGTATTTCGGCACGATAATCTTCCGAGATTGTACTTTACCTCATCGATACATTCTGATGCGGGCCACAGCTGCTCTCTCAGAAGATCGCGGCATATGCCGCGATCATCGGCGGCTCGCTTGGCTCTTCCGATTATCCACGTGTTACGTACGCGAAGGATGGACATCTGGCCCATATGAAACGCTTAATAAACGGATTGTTCTCTCGCGTCGTTATTCTCTATTTCTATTTACTCTCGCCTTCCGCCACTCGACGGCCGGTCACGCGATTCTTGAGAATGTTGAAAAATGTTACGGACAAAACGAGAGCTCCTTCGCGAGAGTGATTCTTACAATTAACCTCGTGAAATCTGGGCCACCGTCGTTCATGCCGCCGACCTCGACGAAGGACGGAAGAAATCGCGTGTGGAGAGGCCAAGCTTGTCTATTTCCAGCCAGAGTAAGATTAACTTGAAGTACAATGTGTTTATTAAATCAGCCGAAGATCAAATAGCACTGAATAGCGCGTTAACAAAACGAATCACGATCAAGCTGAAAATTGGAGCATAATAACTCGAACGCGATTGATCGTTTGTGAACGCGATTAACTGTCCACGAGCTCTCTCATCGAGCAAGCATCGGTTCGACGAAGAGAACATTGACCTTCGCCGTGGTCGTCCATGGGGCGGTAGAGAAATACACGGATGGAAATACGCGAGAAGCCATTCAACGAGGGACCGAGATTCACGGCTGAATCGGCCGCAAATTGCGGCGAAAAAGGCGAGAGTTGGCCGTGTAACTTTCTTCCTGCTTCTGGTCGAGAGGTTGGCTCCGCGATTTTTGTTTTCATTTGATTACTCTCAAGCCGCGAGCCCTTCGCTCCACCCTTCTAGCCATCTAGAGGGTGCAAAGCGGGTAGCAATGACGGCGGTTACTGAACGAAATATGGGTGAGGGAGGGAGGAAGGGTTGTGAAACAGGGGCCGTTTCGCGGAACTTTCGCGAAATAACTTTGCGGAGAGCGATGAGCTCTCTCCACCGTGAGAGATTCCCGTTATTTTCTCGAGGTGAGAATCGATAGGGCCACCTACATACGCCGGACGTGTGGCAGCGGCGGTGGTGATGGTCGTCGACACGCTCCGGGTTGGGTTAGGTTAGGTTAAGCCCGAGCGCTTAGCCCGATAGCACCAGCGGACCGGCTGTGATGCGCTAGGTGTTTACATCGCAGAAGGCCACCACACAACGGGCGAGCGCTTAGATGCCATGACCTAGGACGAAAAAGGAAGCTAGGAGAGATCGTTTCTCACCGTCCGCCCCTCCCCGTGCCTCCCTCGCCACTATTGCCTCTCGCTCGTTTCCTCATCAACGTCGAGGGATTACTTTCTCATTTAGATTTTATCTCGCGTCTACCCACTGCCGCCCTCATCGCCACCCGTCGCCCTGACGCGATCTTCTGCTTCTCTTTCAGCTTGTCTCTTATGTTCGCCTCCGACGACCATTTCTCGATTCCTTCTCTTGGCCAAGCTCCTTTGTTTTTACTAATTACCCAGGACGTCAACCATCGCCCTCTTCCCACAACTCCCTCTGTCTATCTCTTTCTACCCATTCGCCATCACGATTTCTCCGCCGATCATTAGGCGACTAGCCAAGAGGGTGTCCAACGAATCGCCGTCCCTCCGATGAGAGGACGTTCTCGATCCTCTCTCGGGCCTTCATCCCCGCTTACGGATGGATGAATCGATTTCCTTGACGAGGCAAGCGTTTAAATTAAATCAACAGTTTTCTCATTTTATTATACTTGAATGAAATCGATCCGAATTGCAATATTCATTGTATTATAAGCGTAATTAAATGATTTCTATTAAATCCAAACCTTTTATTTTTCTTGATGTCGCGAAAAACTTATCAAAACAATCCGCGCGAGAAAGGCGATACGTCGACAAATCAAAAATCTGGCCTGTACAATGTCCAAGGGTCGTGCTCGACAATCATGGTTGATGCCGCGCTGTCTGCAGCTGCCGCGGCAAAAAATGAACCGCGATTGTTTTATCGCCCCTCGGGCCACCCGATGGTCAACCGGTCTTTCTCCTCTCATTATTATGATTACCCGATAGGCGATGGGTTGGGTACGACGAGAGGCGGGTAAAGGGATGAAAAAAACATGGATTCATCCCCTTGTCCGGAGTCAGCCAGTCCTATCAACCTACCTGGGCCTTCCGTCGGCCCTTGTCCTTCTTTGTACCCCGATGAGGTACGTAGCATACGCGTCGACGATAGAGGCGACGAAATCCAATTTTTCTCTTTTATCGACCCTCCTCAGGCATACCCCTGTCTCGAAAGAGAAGTAGCCCATGCGATGCGCCACATGCTGTCGTTGGCCGTTCGCGTATATGCAAATTTTGACGCATTGTGTCTGCGAGAGCTGCCCTTTACTCACCCCCTCTCACCGCATTGTCCACAAAAGATCCAGGTCAAACTTTCATCCGGTTAGGAATTTTTATTTTTCGATCAAGCGAAACGACAAAGCGGGTTACCCTCGTAACGAAGAAAGGGGGATGGAACGTGAGGTAAGAAACGGTACGCGACCGGTGCACCTTTCATGGCGCGTAACGGTCGATCGTAGTGTCGCCCTAAGACAATCGATACAATTACGAGGAACCGCCGGAGACGTACGTAGGGAGACGAAAGGATCGTCAGTGAGATCCCTCTTTTTCAACCGCGGCCACCCTTCCTTCCCGCGGTTTCCTCCCTTTGAGATGTGTCCTTGGGGAAGGAGCGTTTGTCGCAGTTGATGCTTTAGAAATGAAAAAAAAATGAGAGTTTCGAGAAAACTCTCTGACGATAGTTTGGAATTCGATGCCAGTTACAAGTCTTTTTAGTCTCTACAATTTTATTATTTTATATATTTTTTTCATTTACGAATTTCTTATCATTATATTTTTATATTTTATTACTATGCGGTCCGCGTATTAAAATGTTGACATGTAATTCAGTTGATAAAATCGGAAAATACGATTTTCCATTTTACGTTATTGAATATTTTGTTTATGGATGCAAAAGTTTTGCCAGCTGAAAATACAATCATGGCGAGAGCAAATTGAAAACGTCGGCTTCAGCCCTCGGAACAGATCGATCTCGAGTCCTTGCATCATATGCAACGAAATCATACCTCGACGCGTAGTCTGCAGGTCGTAATAAGATCCAGCCTCTCTATCGACGAAAGGCTCGCGCTAGGGAATGCCGCTGGAGAATTTCCAGAGGCGAGGCACGCCGACCTGGGGGCGGCCGAACAACCCCCGTGGAAGCGCGATGGAGCGAGCTGCGGTCAGTGCTAGGATTCGAAATACGATGGTGTACGTACCCGGTTACGTCGCGTACGCAATGCCGCTGTGTTAACCTTATTGTCACGGTGGTACCGAAGCATGTAAAGCCGCACGGACGCCTCCAAATTGTTATTGCATGCGAGAGACGAAGACGGAGTAAACCGATCGACATGCCAGGAAGGTTGGGCTTCTCCAAAGATTAAAAGTCGCCCTTTCGAAATATCCAAATAATTTATTTAACAGAAATTTTTGTCTTAAGATTATTCAAAATAAATCATTAATGTTCCACAAATATTTTCTAACAGTTAAAAGAAATTATTATATTAATCAAGTTTCTAATAAATATTAAATGTCTTAAACATAACTTTCCGTTATTGAAAAAGTTCAATTATATATTTGAGACTATTCAAAATCTTGCAAAAAAAAAAAGGAAAAATAAATGCTTCGTGACACTTTTTATAATGCTCTTGTCGTCTATCTCCCTGTTGTAAAGTACTATGGGGTGTACTGTGGTCAGTGCCACGATTCGAAATACACGATGAACGTGAACTCCATTCTGGCGTGTACGCAACAACGGCATGCTAACCTTACTGTCACGGCAGGGCCAAAGGGATGTAAAGCCACGATAACGCCTCCAAATCGTTATTGGGTAGCGACAGAGAAGCCACCCCTCATCGTTTATCAGCCGTTCTATGTCCCCTAGAATGGAGTGTTGGAGATACTGTGAAGACTGCTACTTTAACTATCGTTAAATCGCGTAAAATCTATAATTGAATATTCGAGCACGGTCGTTAAGTTGTTCCTTATGGGATACTATCGTTGGTTCTTTTTTGCGAAGTACCTACTTATAACGCATCGGTAGATGCAAATTAAATAGCCTCGAAAATATACGTATTGAAAATATCGATCTAACGAATGCCCAACTTGATACTGACTACTCGGTTAACTCGCGTCTAAACTTGAGAAGACGTCTTCCCCTTTAATAATAAGAAGTTTCTACAATGGATTATCGTCAGCCTACTACGGATATTTATCACGAGTAATTATCAAGAATTCAGATTGTTTCTAGAGTTAAAAAATAACTTTAATTAGCAATAAAACAATGGAGATTAATCCGTCTCTATAACGAACCTTGCAAAATTTATAAAGTTTCGTTATATCTTTGAGAGAAACCCTTTCTAGCCTCACATTAACGTGATAAATAGAGAGAGAGAGAGAGAGAGAGAGAGAGAGAGAGAGAGAGAGAAGGGGATCGAAACAAAAATTAGGCGCTAGTTTTCGCGCCTTTTCCGCAACTAAATTATCCAAATCGCATTCGCACCCTCTGTCGAGGTGGGACGTGTCAACGTGATCGTTTTCGTAGCGGTCGACGCCGCTGGCCATGAAAACTTATCCGGATTTGAGAGAGGAGCGGCGTTGGCCAGTTACCGTCATTACAAACGGTCTGTACGACGTACATGGCGTCATCCACCTGACGCCTCGGTGCGCCTAGCCGCGCAGCGCCGCGCGCGCGCCGGACTGGGCACGGCCGCGCGCAGAGCGCAGAGCGCACAAACGCACACAAGTAATATGGAGCGCAGCGCATCCTACACAGCGCACATCGCCCTGCTGGGCGCGGGCGGGGTGGTGTGAGGAAGACAGCGAAAGAGGAAGGCGCGCGTCCGAGTAACCGAGCGAATGCCGATTCGTGGTCCGAGCGGACGGAAAGAGAAAGCGAGACGAAACATGGCCGTGCGAGAGAACGTGAAAGAGAGGAGAGAGAGGAGAGAGAGAGAGAGAGAGAGAGAGAGAGAGAGAGAGAGAGAGAGAGAGAGGGAGAATGAGAGAGAGAACAAACGGGAGCGGGTGGATGGACGGACGGACGAACGGACGGACGGATGGACGGACGTGCGGACGAATGTGCGAGAGCGCGAACGGTGGCGGCAGAGAACCGGTGAGGGAGCGAGATGGAGCGCGGGTGGAGGGCCAGCGCGCGTCCGAGAGAGGGTTGGTGGCTCGCTTCGGCACGGTTTAGGCGGCGGGCGGCGTGTGGTGCAATAGAGGCGGCGAGGAGGTGAGGTGGGGGTGCCCGGCACGGGGCCACGGCGCAGTTGCTACTCAGACACGGGGATGCTCGCAATGCCTCTATCAAAGGTTACCGAAATCCTACGGAAATATCCGTGTAAACGCGGCGGGCCGTGCCGTGACGATTTGTCGGAAACGCGTGCCGCGATAGCGGAGGTGCTCGTACGCGAGAAACCGGAGAATCACGCGAAAGATCTCGCGCCGCGTGTACGGGAAAGGAGGGACCGGGAACGGTTTGGGGGGCGGCTTCTCACGGGGCTTCTCTCGAGGAGGCGATACATTCCGGACATACGTTACACGTACTTGAAAACGTAAGGAACGATCCACAAAAGGGAGAAAGAGAGAAAGAAGATAGACGAAAGAAAAGGCGCTAAGGAAGAAGGAGGTGGAAAAGCAAGACCGGACTCCGAAGAGTCCTTTCTACTCTAAGATCGCCACCCCGCGACGTGCCAGCAGACACTGCCGACTCGCGAGGAGCACGTGGGGGAGAAAAGTCCGGGAAAGCACGAGGATGGAGAGAGCGCGACGAGATAGAAAGAGGGAGAGGGAGAAAGGATGTGAGACAGGGAGCTTACGAAGGTGCGAGAAGGATGGAGCCAGCGTCCCGACGCGTCTTACCACGACGCGCAAGGAGCGACGCCGCGCGCCTCTCTAGAAGGGGAAAGAGAGAAGGTGGAGGGGGCGGGCGAGGACGTCGCGGCGGGGGTGGCAAAGACGCTCATTCGTTCCTCGAGTCACGTGGCCCCCTTCTTATACCAAAGGTTTTTCCTTTTGTCACGCGGGAGATTCGAATGGTCTTAGACTGACGCCAATGTGGACTCGAGGGATGCCTCGAGGGTGGGTACGACTATCGATGATGCCAGATCCGTGGGGTAATATGCATGAATGAAGTTTCTTTTTATTTTATCGCATTTTTATTTCAATATCTTAGATGATATCTGACTTAGAATTTCATTTCAACTAGTAACACAAGGGATGACACTGAGCAACCCTTTGAAAAGAATTATAGAAGGATTCCAATTTTTAAATTTCCTTTTTTTCAAATTACTTTTATAAATTTAATTTTTATTCACTTTTTTTACTTTTTACTTTTTGTATATGGATATTTAACTCAGAATTAATAATTAAATTACTTTGAATCAAATTACTCTCGCGATTTATTCAACAACTTGAACTCTGCCATAATCGATATGTACTCTATAATCGCTCGTATATTTCTCGGTCCCTCTTCGCAAACGTATCATGAAATTCGAAATTCCGACTACCGTAATCGTATATCGCTTTACCGAAAAGAATAAATACAAAAAAAAACGTTACAACAATCGAGACGATCGGTGGATCCATTCGCGGAGAATCACCGCGAATAGGACCCACCGTCGATCGCAAAGTCATCCCGCGGATCGATCGTAACGAGGACATACGGGGGAATCCGGCGCCCCCTTTTCTTTTCTGTTTCAGACGCGTCGCACTGTGTTGTTATGTGTGTTGTCATAATTATTTCATTGAAAAATTAATTTCGCCGTTTCCGAAACACTCACCGATTTCTGTCTGTGAAACACAACGTCTGAACAACTCCTCTTAAGTTTTGCCGAAAGGACTTAAATAATTTAGAGAAGCTAAAACACACTTTCGAGCGATCCTGATTTCGAAATTACGACGATTACAAAGACGACGATTAAGAAGAAAAAGGAGAAAATACAGAAAATCAAGAAAAATACGCAAAAAAGCACCAAAAAAAGAGAAGAAACGAAATTGAAATAAAAGCATTGCCTTAAAGAAGAAGAGTATACCTACACTGTCGAAGGAACAAACGAGAGACACAGGGGGGAAAAGAAACAAAAAGATAACACTTTAGACGCCTACAAAGTAAATTGTAAAGATATGACTAAAGTATATTTTTAACAAGTTTTGAGAAACTTTAGATTTTAAACGTAAATTTAAAAGCGAAAAATGAAAAAAAACGATAAAATTCTTAATAACTAAAAATGTGATCTAAAAGTCGTTGCTACCAAGAGAAGCCTTATGTCCTTGTTTCAGTTAGTTCGGTTCCAAACGTAAGTACCCAAGTAACTAATTGGATATCGATCTTTGCATGCCTATATAGTTTTTTATTGTACGTGCGATCTTCGTTCCGAAATCGCCGCTTGAGAGGAAGGGTCGCCATGTCCGTGCTCCTGAAAGGAGCGGGAGAATCCCCCTGAAGCGTCAGTCGCGATACGAGAGAGAATGGCTGCGTCAGCAGAGAAAGCAGCTTTGCAACTTGTAAAATTCTTTAACATGATTGTTTATACATTTAGATTCAGAATAAGGAAGATCAGTTATATTAAAGAATTTTACAAAAGTTGCAATGCTATTCGCTCTACTGAACGCAGCCAATGAGGGTGTCGACCTCCGGAACGAAGATGTCGTATCGTTTAGCGGAAGTTCATATACGAAACGATAAATTTTCCAGTGAATGAAATTTTTCAGACACATAAATCTATATCGTGCAAATAACATTATGTCCAAAGGCAACTGTTTTACAAGTTACTCTGTAATGACAGCCCTCGCGCGCGCGCGGCACCACCTAACAACGGCCACTATAAAACTTAACCGGCGTAATGCATACTTTCGCGCGTATCTCTGCTTGCCTACTATTGCTCGCTTCGCTCTCTCTCACTCTATCTCTCTCAGAACGACCACGGCTTATTACGGTAAAACAGTTAAATACGAAAGTGTCCGTAATAATAGCGACTACCGTAATAACTACTGTTAGCCGATAGACAATCGTTATGTATATTATCATTATAATTTACAGTTTATTAAGTAGTCTGCAATGACTTGATAATCAATCTATAACAGAACGAATCTCAAACATGTCGAAACAAATTTCTCGTGGAGATAGAAAGTATAATATATGTCGAATTCTTTTCTCATGAGGTTTTTACTATTTCGATT